AATTCAAGCCATCGGGATCCAAAAAGGTAACTTCATCTGATTTCTTATTGGATATTTACTGTGCAATGAGCTTGCAAGTGTCAGCTTATTTACATGTGAGTGTTAGTGAAAGGTGGTACGAATCTTTGGAGGATCATCCGAATGCTGTGCTTTCCGGTTGTTCAGGTGGTGACAGCTGTGGTGTGGAACAAGCCGGACAGTCTGTTCTCTGTTCCAGTGTGGATCATCATCCTGGCTGTTCTAGCTGGGTTGCTATTACTCTCCCTGCTCATATATCTACTATACAAGGTACCAAGCTACGAAATAACCCTGCTTATACAGTTAGCACAGAAAACAACAGTTTCTGACTGGCTAGTGTGTGTTTAAATATCAGGACACCTCAGGTGCAGTTTAAATGGGGGTTAGTTAGTAACACTAAGGGACACAGTGACACAGTTTTTGACAGCTACAGTATGTCAAATCACACATCACATAGTAAAATTATTAGTTAATGTAGTGAAAATGATTAGGCTTGGATGGATTACTGAACGGGCCAACCTGTCTCTGTTTGAAGGGATTAATAACAATTCTAGCTGGAAAATCAAACGACCACAAGCAGACAAATAACGACCACAAAAAGAGATACTACAGAGATGCTCAAAACAACTACCAGGACAGACGAATTTAATGCAAAGAGACACAACTACAAAGACACACATAACTGTTAAGAGGCACAAACAATTAGAAAAATATGCAAAATGACTACAAAGAGACACAAAACGAGTATAAGAGATACAAAGTAACAACAAAGAGACAAAACTACAAAGAAACACAAAAGGCCTACAAAGAGACATAAAACCATCACAAAGAGACACAAATTGTCCTCAAAGACAGAGATGCAAAACATCCACAAAGAAAGAGAAACAAAACGACTACAAAGAAATGAAAAACAACTATAAAGAGATGCAAAATAACTACAAATGATGTGGCTTTGTCATTTGAAGTAGTTTTTCGTCTCTCTTTCAGTCTGGGGGTTTCTGTAAACAAGAAACCTCTATGAGTATAAAGCCTATGAAAGGGATAGGGAACATTGACTGGTCTAGACTTTGTGCCAGATTGATTTATATGTGATCTTCCTCTCTCCATGTTTTCCTCCAGATGGGCTTCTTTAAAAGGTCAGATCCGTACGGTACGACCATGGAGAAGGCCCAGCTCAAACCCCAAGCGTCCTCTGAAGCTTAGATGGAGCCTCCACTGCAGCTGTTCCAAAGAACTGGAATCATTGTCACATTCCCAAACAAACAAGGAAACTTACTAATGATAAGCAGGCAACCCATTTACGAAGAGACAGTTATGGGTGCTGTATCACTGGAATAAACAATATCTGGTGCTGCACTAAAATGCCAAAGCAGGAAAGACTACAAGGGTAATGCAGTTGAATATGCACTGCTGTTTTGGACATGAATTTGTACAATCAGAGCAAGATTTATGAAGCTTCTGCAGAAAGTCAAGGATTTGTTCCTTAGAAGCTCATCCCTGTGGAAAAATGTTGCATTGGAAAATACTCCTCGTACAGTCTGTTGAGCCCAAATCGATACAGGGAAAAATATGCACCTCCAACAAAAGGCACTAATGCTACAGTATTTCTTTGTTCCTGAAAGGTGTATTTTAAGCCATGTTTGCGATCCCAGTGTTTTGTTAAAATTCCTGCTTTTGTATGATTTATACACCACTCTTTATTTATGGCACAATGTTTTTCCTATTGGTTGTTGAATGTTGTACTGTACTGTCTGCAGGACAATCCTGATGAAACTGCAATGTTTAACTTGAATTATTCCTCTCCCATATTGGGAGGTATTTTGTGTATGTTGTGGTGTTTATGTAATGTATTCATTGTGTTATGACCCATTGGTGTTGTGGCCCAGAATAAAGCCTGATTTTGTATACCCACCCAAAACATTATTGATGTGCTAGTTGTGAGTAAACAAATAAAGCTGAGCCAATTGCTACTGACATGAGATACTATTGGAAATGAGAAGTAAGCAATGAAAAATGAATCAGTATCATCATGTAGATTCAGCTTTCAGTCTTGAAAGTTGGTATGATTTCAATATTTGACAAATGAATCAGCAGCATCAGAGTCTGTGTAGTATGAAATTTGCAGCTGTGTTTATCAGTTCTCCATATTTAGTGATTCAAAAACTCTTAATACTCTCCTACTAATGTGTTAGTGGGCCTTTAGCTCCCTCTGCAGGTAATACATGTATACAGAGCCTTCTGATGTTGAAGTCACATCACAAATATTAGTATTTGAAGGTGCCGGTTAACAACAGCCCCTGCAAGCCCCTGTGGTGAATATGACCCCGAGCGGACATTTAGAGATCATATTATATACACGGTTAATGATGAATTCAGTGCAAAATTGCATAGTTTAATATTACAGTAAATATTGTGCCTGATGGGTATGTACACCTTTAAAGTCTACTGAAGCCAAAGAACTAAGCTAAACCAAAACAGACAACAATGAAGTTCTCTTACTGTGTTCAGTTTGAAATGTTTTCAACCTCACCCCTTTTAATGTCTTATACATGCAAAAATGGTGCAGTTACCTCGACAGAGACCAATTTCAATGTGAGCAGACATCAGATTCTCAATCTCAAACATACAGAGACAAGAGGAATAAGGAGAGTGCACGCACCAGCAGCCACACACTGAGCCGGCACACAGTGGTAACTATTTTCATTTGTTTTATTATCTATAGGTTTCAGCACATCATGCACAATGCACAATAAATAACTGGACACATACATTTTGCTTTCATAATACACAGTTTTATTAGCCATTTTTGACAGGTAGTTTTCTGTTTGGGTGCACACAATTAGTTATCTTTCTTTGTCAATTTTGGAAACGTTATGAGGTTATTTTTCATTAAATGAATTCAGTTTTCTTTGAGTTACCAGCTCCTGGGGGTTTCATTAGGCAGCGTTATCTTAACATTATTTGTGGTTATGTTTTACTCTATCCCCCCGTGTAAGAGTGGCCTTGGTTTACATGCTTTAATGTTAAAAAAAAACATATCAAAGTACAAATGTAGTTAAATCAATGAAGTTTGTAAGGTCAATTTAGTCTGTTCAATTTGTTAACACAGCCTGAGTTAAGTTTTGTTTAGGTGACTTCTTTTATGGGCTGAGAACTTAATTGTATATTTTGTAAATTTGAAAATACTTTTTTTTCTGGTTGAATAAAACTGAAAATTTACCTCTGACTCCTCATGTCTGCCAGTTCGGTCCCTCACAGAGAGAAACCCGAGGAAAGTAACAGAAATAAATCAAGTTTAAAGGACCAGGGTCTAGGATTTAGTGGCATCTAGCAGTGAAGTTGCAGATTGCCATCATTTGAATACAGCTCAGCCTAGAATAAACAACGGAGGCCGTGAAAAGGCCCTAACAGTAGACACATGTTGGTTCAACATGGCAGCCACCGTAGAAGAGGACCTGCTCCCTCTGTTGATATAACAAGCTCTTTTTAAGGTAACAAAAACACAATAATTATTTATATTTCATATCAGGTGATTATACACTAATGAAAACATACCTGTGAATATTATATTCCATTACTGCCAGTCGATCCTCCTAAATGTGACCTGCAGTCGCTCTCTCTGCCCCACAAGGGGGGGTCTGGCCACTATTTAAGGGTATTTTCTTCCCCCAGGGGCCAATACAGGTGTATATTCCAAAGTAACTGAAGGACCTTTACTGTTAAAACACACTTGCAAAATCAACTGTAACTTAATTGTAACTTAAAAGGAATAGTTCCACATTTTGGTAAATACTCTTTTTACAGAGTTAGAAGAGTAGATGGATATTACTCTTTTATCTGTGTGTTTAATGTAAGCCTTCAGTCAGCAGCTGACTAGCTTAGCACAAAGAATGGAAACAAGGGGAAAGAGCTAGCCTGGTTCTCTCCAAAGGTAACACAATCTTCCCACTAGCACCTCTTGGTACGTTATATCTCGCTGTTTAATCTACACAAAAACTTAATATAGCAATTCACCATTTTATAGTGGTTATGTGCTGGACTATTTATTGGCTGAAAGCAGTAACTGTTTATCCCTATTTCCAGTCTTTGTGCTAAGCTAAGTTAGCCAGTTGCTGGCTTTTGCTTATATTTAACAGTACGACATGGAACCGATCATGGAACTGAGAGACATTCAATCAGCGATTAAGCATATTTCCTAATATGACAAACTATTCCTAATTGCCCTAGTGATATAGGCTGCAATGTGATTTTCTTCAAGACATTGGGTCTTCAAGGTGTTGCTATGAGTTTTGGGATAAAATTGTATTTTTATTATATTTTTAGAAGATTTCACCACACAATTTGCATCTTTTATGATAATCTTTTAATTAATTTTGAATGTACTTTGTATTAAAAATAAACACAAGAGATGTCCAGAGCCAATCCTAAGGAGCCATATTGAGGCCGATACAGGCACATTTTAAAGGATCTGTATTGGCTTAAATAGACCTGGTCAAACGTCAGGCCTTTCTTTTTTTGCTCTCTGTGTTTTGTCCACCTCAGCCTGCTAGTGTTGGAAAACTCACCTCCTTTACAGTTGGCCTCTGCACTGCGAGCGTTTCACTCACAGTGTGTGAAAGTGAAAAATGATCTGTGCACTAGTGGATGACACAGAGGTTGGAAAAAGGCACAGATACGCAAAACTCCAACGTCTGTCCTGTATTTGTGTCCCTTTTGTTAACTTGTGCAAAATAAACTCTGACCCTTTAAAGAAGAGTACTGGATGTTTTCTTCCACTGTTGGTGTTGATGTTCGGCTCTAACTGACATTTGTGCTGAGTGTGTGCATGTGTGCTTCTGCTGAGTTCGTCTGGATGGATTTTCCCTCCCAACCTGCATACGGGGTGTTGTCTGTCTGTCCTCCTCCTCCTCTCCTCTCCCTCCCTCCCTCGCTGCATGTGTGTGTGTGTGTGTGTGTGTGTGTGTGTGTGTGTGCTCCCAGGCTATAAAAGCCACGCTGTCACGAGGGCGCTATCCTGCAGAGGAGCTCAAGTGTAAGTCAGAGAAGCAGACAGACAAAACAGAAGACTGCACTTGCTTTCCCGTGGCTGTGAGTAATACATTTGCTGTCTTAAGTATTTACACAGGGCAGAGTGCGTCATTTTCAGTAGAGCATGGTATCAGTGTGCAAGTACTGCATCTTTTATGCCTATGACTTTGAGTCTGCAGGGGCAGATGACTCAGCTGTTTGAGTTCGGAGCCTTAGTGAGCCATGAAATGCAGGACAAATATGAACCTAAGTAGCGTTTACTGCGGAAACATCTGTAGATAAAGTAGACCTCTGTGGACACATCTCTAACAAAGATCCATAACTGCTATTTCTACACTTTTAAATAGTTATTATTGTTTGTGTTCTGACTTATTCTAATGTATCAAACCCTGAGGACACATGCATTAGGCACACAGACACAAAGCTGATGAAAATCCTTAAAAATAAAGGAATATTTTCAGGTTTCTGTAGACTATACATTAGGTTATAGTGGTTAGAAAATGTAAAAACAAAACAAAAACATTATCCCTATACACTCCCTAAGTAGGATCATTTTAAGTCGATTTTAGTGTCTCTTGGGACACCCTCAAAACAGCCCCTTGGGCCGCTGGTTTCTATGGCAACATTCTATCCCAGGTTGTTTTCCTGCTGACTGATGACTGGTTGATCCTCTGTGATACCTCCTATTCAGCATGTAAAGATGGGTGGCTTTTGCACCCATTGTGCTGTGAGTCAGCAGACAGGGTATTAGTGTTTGGGTTTGAAATCTGCGGAGGTGACCCGGCCTGGTTGGGCTAGCTGGGTCCACCCTCACATATTATTACTCTGGCCAACAGTGGTGGACTCAGGGCGTATGAGGGGGAGGGGCAAGAACAGAAAAATAAAAAGGGCACCAGCATGCAGAACGTTGTGATGCATTTATGGGGGAACAGTTCAGTCAGGGGTAGAATTAGTACCCTAGAGGGCTTATTTTGTCCATTGCAAGGGTAGCCTGGAGGGCACTTTACCATGTTTTAAGTACCACAGGGGCATCCAAGAGGGCACTTCTGCAACGCTTTTTCAAACATGGAGTCCACCAGTGCTCTTCGACCCCGCTGTTCAGATCCTAAAATGTTTCAGTCATCCTAAAGCTGTCAGTTTGTTTTTATTGTAAGATGATCCTTGTATGTGTGTACATGTTTGAGACATTAATATGAAGGGCCAGGGGTGGGTGGATGGGATCTGGACAGCCTGACAGACTGCAGCAGAGACATTGATCTAGGTCCTCTTTCTCCTGTGCAGGCTTTCTCTAGCTGTAATCATGTCCAGAAACCTGCTGAAGAACCCCTGTGGGGAAGGTAAGATAATATTTTCTCTTATGGAGGATCTGCAACTATGGTAACTGGATCAGGGGTGGATCTACTCTGGGTCTAGCAACACCAGGTCCACCCCCCCACAGTTTTCCAGTTTCTACTGGAAAACTGTAATTTTCCATCACTTTTATGTCCCTACACTGGCCAAAGTATCAAATAGGCAGGAAATAAGGTAAAAATGACTTAGGCCCCCAAATAACATCCACGTTCACTCGAGCGAGTCAGCTTGTGAACAACAGAACACAGTGACTGAGCTGCTGCATCTCTCAGAGCTTCTGTACGTACAGTTGAACTCTAACCAAGTCAGAAATGAATGTAACTACTGCATGCTACACTGGATTAAACATGACAGCATGTTTATCATGTGAATGTTAGCCAAAAGTTAAGTCACTTGCTACAATAGAGCTTCCTACCTCTATACCCACTTATACCGAATTTTGTCTGAGGTGGTCAACAAAAAATGAACTGCAGTTGCAAAAGCAGGTCAGAAATTGCAGAAAGAGACGCGACAACTTCCAACTTGGCTCGATATTTGAATTGTATTAGTTTACGTTAGCTTCACAGTTAAGTAACTTTGCTAGCTAGCTACTTCATTGATTTAACTACATTTGTACTTTGATATGTTTTTTTTTTTTTACATTATAGCATGTAAACCTATTTTAGGCGTCCCTCCATATTAAAATGTAGTTAGAATGGCATTACATTCGATGAAGAGTGCTTTATGACTTGTTTAGGACTCAAAAGTCACAATTTAGGACTTGGGACTTGATGGTAAGTACTTGGGACTTGGTTCCACCTCTGGCACATGGTAGAAAATACACTACGCTGCTATTGACAGCTTGAGACTGTGCATGTCCCTCCCAGAGCAGCTGGAATTCTGGGACTTGACGGAGAACGGAGGGAGTCAGTGGAAGGTGGAGGAAATGCCGGGAGACTGTGGCCACGACTTCTGCAGCGATGGCGTGACCACATACTTTGCTACCTCCTTTGAGTGAGTGTTATGCTGTATGTGTAGTCATGTGACTGTATTTATCTGCTCAACACAGCGACACTGTAAATCTACTGGCCCTATGAAGACTTTTGTACATTTTTAATTCTCCCAAGCACAACCTGCTTTAAAGATAGGTATGGAAACGGAACCTAGAAAAATTATTCTTTGGGAACTATAACCCCGAAGAATTGGGATCACTAAACCAAACAATTGAAATATGAAACCCTGGAAAAACTAATTAAATAAGATCTTGATGAATGAATTAATTCATGAATGAATGAATATATTGCCAACATTTATTTTCTTATTATTATTTTAGACTTTCTCCTAATAATAATAATAATAATAATAATAATAATAATAATAATAAATAATTAAATTATTATTATGCCACTCAAATTCAAATGATGAATGTATGGATCAATAACTAGTCACAAACACAATGGGGATTACGTGAGCTACAACTTGGTAAAGAAATGATTATCTCCTCAACAGATTAATTAAAATAATAATTTGGAAAAATATGAACTAAATATTGTAAAAATTCTAAGTAAAAGTATACTATATATAAGATGTTAGAAGAAGTAATATGACGATAAATGAAGATGTAGAAGACCTAGGAATATGCTTTAATAATCAACAATGGGGAGAAACAGTTTCCGGAGAAAGTACGCATGGAAAATACATTTTATCACACCAATTCAGAGACATTACAGTTATTGGAGAAGATGTGGGAGAAACCATAGTCATATTTTTTGGTTGTACGCAATGTTAAAAAAAACAAAAACATAATAACTTAGAAAGCCTGTCACTCTGGATGTAGAATCATCAACATACATTTTGTGTAATAGTGATATACGTTAACTTATAATCTGAAGGACATGTACTATCAAAATTATCACTTCATCAGGTCTATGCATCCACGACTGGAAAGTTCAAACCATGGAGCAAATTACACTTAAGTTACACAAACACAGAAAGAAGCTGGCAGATAATTGAATATACTTACTGTATGTATGTGATTACATAAAAAAATCCTCTTTTTGTCACAGATATTGTCTTTTCAGGTTGTTTTTTCAAAATGACACAACAAAAAGTCTAGTATAAAAATCCTTTCCCTATATTATTCATCATTTGCTTGTAACCTACGTATATCTCAGTATGTTTCATTCTCATCCATTTACTACCTCATATATTTTGTTTTAATGGCAAAGTGAGTTGACTGTTTTCATCAATCCCATTCTGTGTGTCGTAGGCTGTGTCTCAAGAGACAGCTCATCGACCTGTTAGCGGAGGGTTACTCTTCCGAGCAGTTGGACACTCAGCCTCCCGTCACAGTGGAAGACTGGTAAGACAGAGGTGGACTGGCGTACATGTAAACACCTTCTGTAAGTGACTAGTGTAACTAGTGTTTAACTGGTGACTCATTCTGCAGGTACTGCGGGAGGACGGATTGTGGTTGCACCTATCAAATGACCGTGTGTCTGCTGGATGAGAATCAGGAGCTCATACAGGAGTTCAAACCTGATCCGGTGACCCTCGACCCCGACTGTGACGACTGCTCGTGGAAAGAGGTACACAGAGTGTACATCAAACTGAGGTCACAGTGGTCTTGATAGGAAAACGCAATGTAATCTCCATTCTATACATTTTAATTCTTCACCAGTACTTACTCACTGTTGTAGGGACATTTTTGTCCTTTAAGGCTTTCAGACACATAAGGACAAACTCCTTTTACTTCCAATTAAACAAAATATGTTGTTTGTCCATGTTGCACACATAGAAGCATCTGATCTGACCCTATCAGCAGGAAGATATCATTTGAAAAGAGAAAATCAGAAACTAGTTTTAAAGTCTAATGTTTTTTCGAACCACCCATCCATTCCGACATCCGATCGGGGGGCACCCTACTCCGGCTCTGATTGGCTAGTACTCATTCTCTTTATTGGTTTCATAGGTTAGGTTGAAGCATGAGGATTGAGACTGGTTAGGGTTAGGGTAAGGGTAAGAAGGTCATAGTCAGCCAATCAGAGGCAGAGTAGGGCAGGTTATGACTTTGCCATTACAGGAAAAAGAATATTGGGTACCAGGGACTTCTTTAATAATGTCACCTGACTTCCTCCTTTGCTCCTGTTGTAATTTCGACGACTCCTAAAGGGCTTTGTCACTTGAATGTAAACCTTATGAGGCACTGCCATCATTCTTCTTGGGGGCACAGTCTCGTCCACACACACACACCCAACTGTACGCTGTGGTTTTCTCTCTCTTTTTGAACTCCAGGTGAGCCACACATTTTCTGACTATGGCCCCGGAATGCGTTTCATCTTGTTTGAACACGGAGGACAAGACACCAGGTTCTGGGACGGTTGGTTTGGAGTCCGGGTCACTGGGAGCTCTGTTACTGTCGTGGTCTGAACGAGACGCAAAAGAGTGAAAGGAGAAGAGGAAGGTTAGGAATACTGAAAGGAGGAAGGTGGAGTAATAGAGGGGCTCCAGAGTGACAGAGTGGAGTGTAGGTTTCGAAGGTTTCAAGAGGACCAGCTTTGCCTTATACATTTAGCTTGCACCTCTGTATATCACGCATACTGCTGTTGATGCTGCTGCTATAAAGACTGTAGTTACAAATCTGTTAAAACACCATCATGGTGGCATGTCGGCTTTACTAACCTCAAAATAGCAAAATTACTGCTCGTAACACCTCCTTAATCATCATCTATTAACTACTACCTCTGCACAGTGGCTGACCCTGGCGTTTAGCTGAATGATGTGTTTGGTGTGTGGGGGTGTTGGAAGCCGTCAAGTGGTTTGTCGTTCAAATTGAAATTAAAATGATGAAACAAATCATTGGCTGAACTTTTATGTAAAGATCAACTGAACGTGATAATCCTTCAACCCAATATAGCTCTACTGTAAATGCAGGACTCAGTGATTGTGGTTGGACTTCATCTACAAGAATGACTGTTACTACCAACCAGACATATGCTCACAATGGCTGTCTTGGGAGCAGTAGTAGAAAGAGGCTAAGTACATTTACTCTAGTAGTGTACTGTTAAATACTGGACTTAAGTACAATTTGGAGGTACTTGCAGTTTACCTGAGTATTGCATTGTACACTTCTACTCTACTACATTTCAGAGGGAAATCTTGTACCCCACTACATTTATCTGACAGCTGTAGTAACTCATTTGTTTCCAGATTAATTAAATAAATAATTACATTTTACATTAAGAAAGCATGATAAGCTTATACAATGCATTGTTTAAAAGTAAACCAGTACTGGGTGCGAACTACAGGGGAGCCAGGGGGAGCAGGGATCCTCTTAATAAGACATGAGCTCCCTGAAAACATGGACTGCGACTATTATTGTAAGATTTGTGCATTAGGGTGATTCACCACTTATTCACTTCAATGATGACACTGTAACTACAGCTGTCAGATTAATACAGCAGAATAAAAAGTGCAATATTCCTCTCTGAAATATGGAGTAAAAGTAGAAATTTGTATAAATGGAAGCACCTAAAAGTACAGGTACAGTACAGCACTTGAGTAAACTGCCTCTAAACTACTCAGATAATTTGATATACAGTAAATGTAAGGCCTTAATACATCAAATTATACAATATTTATTAAAAGAGGATAGAAAACGTTATCAGTGGCTGTGGAAGAGGCTTAAGACAATTCCGGCCAATAACATTTGCTATATTTATACCAATAAACACAGGGCTTTCTGTGGAGTTTCTCTAGAGGAAACTGTTATTGTCTGACAGGCTGATGCAGTTTCAAATATGAATACAGCAGCTCAAATAAATACACTTCTCTAATGGTTGTACTTAAATTACTAAAGTAAGATACAAAGCATGCTGCAAGTACAAGACAGAGCTGTATTCTTCTTATTTCCTGCCCCATTAATCATCCCACAAGCCTTCAGATTTATCTTGTGACCCTTTGGACCCCTCAGCTGGAAAACACCGGACTTACCTATGAACTGTAGCTTAAGCAGATAAACTACTCAAAAGTACTCTGATCTCAGACCATAGGGCAGAAATATTCTGCTGAGTGATAGTCATGTTATTTCATTCCTCATTGTGGAGCCCAATGTAGAATAAAATAACTAGTACAAATGCAGGACCACTCTAAATGAGGCCAACCCAACTCAATTTAGCTTAATTTCAAAATAAGAGCGCACTGTTAGTCAAGATAATTACATCCAGGACTAACAAATCAATCCTCAAACCTGCTCAAAGAGCATGTTGTACAAAGGACGATAAGGAGGACATGGATAACATGCACACACTATCAAAGAAAACCACACATTTAAAAAAACTCACTTTTATTTGAATTGAATCGAGATTGTATAACTCAAGTGAGATACTGTCCTAAAAGCAATATACACATTTTACAGCCATCACACATATAAATAAAAGTTGATTATGTTGCAAAACGTGTGAATGTGACAATAAAATGCAGTGTTATTCCCATACAGGTCAGGTATTACTGCAGACAGTGTTGAAAGTGAGCACCATTAACAACAAGCTACATTAAGCATTGTTTATGGATCAACCAAAACAACCTGTAATCCTTCCATTCCCAGTTAGAAGCACGGTCTGTGGCTGACTGGTATTTTGTCCGTTTTATCATCTTACCAGTTTTAGACAGTGTAGCAACCATGTGATATTAGCTGTAGTACTGTTAGCAATGCAACCACTAACTGCAGCCTCAGAGACAGAGGTTAAAAATAAATAAAACAGCTTCATTCAGCTGGACTGTTGAATGTTTTGCAGCTAAACAATACGCTCAAAGGACACACACACTGCTGGGATCATAAGAGAGGAGAATACTGGTATATACGGAAATGTACACTATAAAGACAAAATAAGTGTCTAACTGATTCAAATAATAAAAGATAATAACAGTAATATTTCAGTAAATATTGATCTCCAATCGGTGCACTGCATCTCATTTAAAGTTAAAGCATGTGAGCTCACAGTGCACACTGGGCCTAAACTACACAAATACATTCACATGTTGTGTCAAGAATAGTTTCTGTGCAGGCTGTTTGGATAACTCATTTATCATGTATTTTACTGTAGCACTGCAGAGTAATATGTGCATTTATGTCAGCACACATGAGTATTACAGATTTAATAAATAACATGCAGGTTTCTTGTTGTGTTTTTTCTTCAAGTCAGCAAGGTGTTGAAGGGCTGCTATAAGCGTTTACTGAGCCCCAAGGCCTCAAATCATTTTTCGGGACAAACAGAAAGAAAGCCCCTTTAGCTTTAGAAGGCTTCATCTGCCTTACATAAGGGCAGGTAGCATTCAACTTGATTGTATAAGCCTCATTGCACAGTCTGTGGGGGTCAAAAACCACTTAATGTAGCTTTATTTACATCGACTAATATCCCATTGGTTATAAAAGTGTGCTTTTAACTGGCAGGTCTCTGACCAGCTGAGAACATTGATAACTTCTGCCCTCCCTGAGCTATTAACACTGGTGCCTCTTGAGTGAGTTATAATGTGACCTGGCCAACTTCAAAATCTCAACACATGTATTTTGAATTTTAACAGCACTGAAAAAAAGGGAGCATTTCAACCATTAATGTAACAAAGGTGGATATTTAAGCACAGAAAAGGTCAGGGACCAGATGTGTTGGTAGGAAATATGCAACTCTGCTTCCTGTTGTTCCTGTTTGGATCTACAATGCTTTCAGTTAACAATCACACCAGCTTATTATAACAATACTGTCAGGTGACGTCAGGAGTTTGAGTCAGTAAAACATCAAGACACCAAGATTGTCTTATTGAACATGAGCAGAAGTGTGTGGTTGTGTGTCAGTAATAGTGTGCATACTGGGTGCTTCTGGACGGCAACAGGTCCTGGTCCGGATGAAAGAGGAAGGCTCATCATTCTCCTTGCGACTGCATCTGTTTACAAAAGGCCTCAAACTGCTGCTGCTCCAGCTCAGTCATCACCTTGTTCAGGGCATAAATCTGCAAATGAAGGAAGTACACACACTTGGTTCCAGACATATGATACTTGTAGCACACTGCTGCAATAAAGTCCCTCGGAGACAGGGACAGCAGACAGAATGTGTGGCAGCTTTAGAAACAGTGCTGGTAGTCACCTCGGCTCTCTGTCGTTGTTTGAGCTCTTGCTGAGCAGACTTCTGCCTGGCTCTGTCTCCTCTGGTCGGGGTCGAGTTCAGCTTGGGCTTGTCCTTACGGCAGGCTGGCTCCATGGTGGCAGACCTCCAGTCAGCCTGGGAGGGTGAAGGGAAGATATCTGACACTACAATCTGATACATGTGAGGAAACGACAAAGCCTTTCGATCTGTTGGTAAGTCTGGCTATTTGCTGGAAGCTAACGTACGCGCTTAAAGTAATGTAGCAGCAGTTTTCTGTACATATTCTTGGATTCACGTTAGTTAGTTAACGTTAAAAAGGGTTTCTAACGTAGTCAACCCAGTTTTAAAGGTCTACTGTAGTTCAACGTTAGCCAGCCAGCAGACTCACTCTTTAGCCCACCTTAGCTAACTGATCTGTCGTTGACTTTCTATCGGGTACCAACCAGCAGGAACAGATAATGGCGGACTTACCCCCGAAATAGAAAAAGCGGACAAAAAAGTAATACAACTTGAATAACCGTAACGTTACGTTATTCTGTAATTTGGTGGTAGCTAACTGATAGCTTAAACAGAACAGCTGGTCCCGAGGTGTCACCAATAAACAAATCCGACGCGTTTGTAGAAAGGTTCCGGCTGTGTGGTTCCGCTTTTCTTCTTCTTCTTCTTCTGTCTGTTATGATGGTAGCTGCACATTACCGCCACCCAGTGTTGTGACGTATGCACTGGCCTTAACATAATTGCCCCGATTTTAGATATTATATCTCCTTTAGGCCAACTCAAGTTATTTTACCTAAAGTTCTTTTGCATTTCATACAGTATACCCAAACATCCATTAAACAAGTCCCCTCTTGTCCTCATTATGAACACAGCTGGCATGTTTACAGTTCTTCATGCTCGATAAGCTGTTTTTTTGATTTCTTGATTTTCAAAAAAGACCACAGAGAGCGTACAATGTAGTAATGCTTTTTGAGCATTTCACCAATTCCACAGATAAACCCTAGGTGTAAGTCAGAACTGAACTAAAGGTTCATCATCCAGGGTAAATAATAAGCAATGCTCACTCTTTACAGTGTGCTGTGTTTAAAAACTGGACGACACTCATCAGCAGGATAAATACTCTGCTGTCTGACTGCATGAGCAGCAGGCTCTCAGAGGTTTCTCAAGAAAAGCGGCAGCTGGAAAGAGTTTCACGGAATTCTGCATCCCTCATCGGTATGTGTACTTTGTGGCCAACAGACTTTTGTTTTGAAATGTGAAAACCCAAATACTACCATTTATAAATAGGGGAACAAAAACAGAAAACAAGTAGTTTTTTTGTTTTCCACTGTATTTTCAAAACAAAAGACAAAAACTTTCTGTTTTTATTTATCTTTTTTGTTCCCCTGTTTATAAATGTTAGTCATGAAACAAGCAGTTGGGGTTTTTTTTTTTGTCAGTCATTTTGAAGGAGACAGACACAGACTTCTTCATCTGCTCTATTTTAGTTTGACACAATTTGCAAATAGACTGTAACTTTCCTAAAATAATAATAATTTGTTGTGTTTCTGACATTTATTACACAACTAATGTTTCAAGATTCTGCTATGATGTATGTATCTTACAGTACAGTGTTCAGTCAGTAGTCCCTGTATGTTGAATATGTTGGTAGGATAAGGGGTTAAAGCTATCTGCTGTGCTCCAACTAGGCCTGACCACAAGATGTCGCTCTTGTCTCATAGTCCAGTTATACTCATTAGAGCGTGTATGAATTTGCATTTACGCAGATAGTTCGGGCATGTGACGTCATTCAACATTGACCTGAGGTGTATCTGACTGAGATGGTGCATTTGGAAAGGAGCAAAGTCTGACAAGAGAGCCTCTAATGAACCGGTCCCGCTGAAGCCTTTAGAAGCCTGATACCCTTACACCTGTATACAGGGCAAAACATGACTATTTAGATAAGCAAACTGTTTCCTAAGTGTTTTCCCCCTATTTTCACCTTTTGATTTAGAGCAGGTAACTAATAAGTGCTGCTCAGACCATACACACACACACACACACACACACACACACACACACACACACACACACACAGACTCCCCTCAGGGCACCTCCTCAGTGCATAAATCAGCTGGGTGAGGAGTGAGCCTGACACCAGCTGAGGGGTGGTCCAGAACCCATTTATCCCCTCAGAAACAAAAACAGTCATTATGAAGGGACAGAAACATTAAACACTCTCACATATGAAATGAGGAAATCTTCCTCTCAGACCAAACTACCTGACAACACTGGTAGTCTCCGGTGTTGTTGTGAACTTGAGTTCGAATGTGTGCATGTGTGCCCTCTGGCAGTGCTGCGCTGCAGAGATTTATCGCACAGCATACCAACGGTTTACCTGGATTTATCCTCCAACTACAGGAGAGCGCTCTCCCTCGGAATAATATCCTGCCAAGAACAACTTCTGCTGAACGCGGCAGACAACAGCCAGACCTGCTGATCCATATGCACAGCAGCATAAAGGAAAAACACATTTATATAAGGCTTGGCAGTCAGCAGCAGGGGTTAAATATGGTCCCTCAGCTCACATTGCTTTTTGGTGAAAACACTGCATCTGAAAGTTGCATTTCCAGGAATTTGAGTTATAATCAAAAACCTTTTTGTCTGCTTTGCTGCTCTCTGTCAGCAGTTCAAATAAAACGTGAGTTATTTAGCCTGAACCACGTTTATCAAATCTTTTAAATCCTCCAGACGCGATTTGTCCTGCGTAGCAAGATTCATTAAAAAAACTACAGACAAACTGGGCAGCTATAGGAAGTCATCCCGGCTGTCAGAAAAGCATCCCACCCAGAATAAATTCAAGGTGAAAGACGTCACAGCTCTGACCACGCTGTTTGATTGACAAGCGATTTCTGGGAAGAGCAAAGCACAAACACCCACAGTAATGACTGCACCAAACATAGACACTAATCACAGGAAGAAGGTGTTTCAGGTGCAACCAGCGACTACACGGCACCTTAATTAACCCGCTGAGGTGTCTGTAATATTGTGCAGATAATGTTAAATGGGAAGAGGTTTTAACATTGGCTTATATATGGCACTTTTATCTTAGAACAGCTTCTGTGAGAATTGGTTCAGTGATATTAAGCAGCAGGGGAAGGTAAGTTGTGGGCTATTAGTTTGGAATACGGGAGGGTTAGAGGAACTGTAAATGTATTGTCTGATAATCAAAGGAAAAGTAACATTGTACCTTACATTCACAGTCATATTGTGAAGTGATTAAACAATATTATCTTTGCATCATGGGTCGGAGAAGGCCTGGTTTGATCTGATTTGACAGTTCCACACTTAGATTCACATGTTGCCAAATTCCGTTTGGTGCATGGAAATATGTGACATCCCCTTTTTCCAATAGAGCCATCACCATAACCATTTCTTTCTGCCAGTATAATGCACACTGCCATTGTTGGTTTACATTGTTGTTCCTTTGCACTTGCTGCCCAATGACATCATGCACGGCGTGACCGACGGTAAGCGATGATTGGTCAGGGAGCAACGTGTAGTCTGTCATGTCTCTGGGCTAAGTCACAGAGTTTATGGCTGTACGGTCGTCTAACATGATGCAGTGACCGTCGTAACACATATACAGAAAACATATGGCACAGTCGGAACTGAAGCATTAGTTATGATAACCTTATAAAGTCATTTCTGAGGTCTGAGAACACTGTAGTTCAACCAGATGATCTAAATGACTTTATTATGAGGTAAAGAGAAGTGAATATTAAAATGTTGCTTAAAATTCCTCATTGCACAGAACTATAGTTGTAAAAGACGATGTTGGGTAAATTTAACATTTGCTTGTTTTTTAAACTAAGATTTAGTGGCATCTAGTGGTGTAGTTCAAGATTGCAACTCACTTGCTTCACCCTCCCCTTCCAACCACGAGGGAAAAACTACGTTGGCTGCAAAAAGCACAAACAGCCCAGTCGAGAACAAGTGTTTGGTTTGTTCTGGGCTACTTGTGAAACATTGTGGTTCAACATGGCGGCCTTCATGGAAGGCAACCCACGACATCTGTTGATTAAAACAGCTCATTCTAAGGTAACAAAAACATAACAATCTTTTATTTTCAAACATAACTTTACCTATTATATTCCATTTCTGCCAATAGATCCCCCTAAATGTTACACACTGGACCTTTAAAATCTATCTTATCTTCTGTTCAGTTATATTTAATTACAGATAGGAATGATGGCCAAAACTAGAAAAACAAGATCCAAATGAACCACAGTTGGTTTTCTTTATTTTGCCGACAAAGACATGTTGGCAACAATTGTGGATTGCTGTGTGCTGTGGGCTACAGACCTGGGCCCCATTTCCCAAAAGCACCTTAAGGCTAAGATGATGATAGTCCCATTGTAAGGACACTGTGTGCTTTTGGGCTGTCTGTGACAAAAAACAATCATCAGAGAAACGTGTAAAAAGACGCTTCCACCAATGGCTGATTTGGAGCTTTGGGGACCAAAGAAAAAGTCTGACAGTCTCAGAAATTTAGGACCAAATTCTCACAATGTGACTGCCGCTACAACCCACGTCTACAAACACACAGGTCAGAATGCACCATGAGAGTACACAAGTACATAATAATGGCCAAGAAAGTAGGTGAGAGGTTTTCGGATGTGGAGCAGCAGACAGAGCATCAAAAGAGATGAAAAGGTTAAGAAGTAAAGGAAGAGAAGATGGAGAGATGGTTAAAGTTTTATAGAGTGGCAGAGAGGTCTGGGGAGGGGAGGGATGAGGTGTGGAGAGACGGGCCTAGGAGACTGCAGCAGCACAAGTGTGTGTTAGGAGCCTTGTTCTTCTAAATTAAACTCTCTCTCCAGGGGGAAGAGCAGCTCTGACTGCTCTTTCACACCAGCGGCCCTGAACACACAAACTCACCACAACCTCCTAACCCTGCTCGCCAGTCCACTGCCAAAAAACACACACACATACACAGCTCGCACACACGTAAGCATGGCGCGTACAAATCCCCATAGACATGTACATATGCATACACACAAAGTCTTTCAGAACTAAAAATAAACGACCATGGTGACTGTGCCTAAAATAACTGGGCTCACAAACACACGTGCAAACACGCGCTTACTGTACATGCATACACAAAAGCCTTCATGAATGCACACACGCTCAGACACGAACATGCAAACACACTCTGTTGCTCTCTTCACACCTGAACCCCAATAGACCTGCAGCCGCCAAAGCAAACAGCAGGCGGCAACCAGCAAAAAAAAAAAAAGAAAGATATGGACAGGATATGACCTGACAAGCGGGGGTCAGTGTGAGTGATGTAGCGCACACAAACTGACACACAAACATATGACGACACACACACTCTAAACCCTGACAGCTTATATTAGAGGTTTCTCTTTTGAAGCTGGAAAGGTTTTCAGATTCTATGCCTTCTTAACAGCTCTCTGCTTCACATTTCACTGCCTGGTACAGCGGGGGTTCCAGAGAGATAAGGGCCTTGCTCACAGGCACTTCACTGGTACCTGCTGAGTGTGGGGTGAGGAGATGAGAAAAGACTGTTGATGATTTTCATTAGCAATTAGGCAAGGAGAGTTAAAGAAAGAGGATTTTCCTATT